TAATTAATAATTAATCAATTAAAATAAACCCCAAGATATTCCCATATTTATATCTTTTTTTTTTAACTTCCCTTTTCCATGATTTCCCTCAGAAAATTCCCAATTTTTGGCGTTTTCCCGCGTAAATCCATAAAAAAATTTCCAAAATAAATTCGGAATAAATTCGTTTATTTCTCTTTACAGAATTTTCCAAGTATTTTTTTTTATTATTATTATTATTATTTCTTTTTTTTTATTTTCTTTTCCAGGTATAAAAAAATCTCCTATTTTTTTATTAATTTTTTTTTATTTATTTATTTACAGAATCCCCGGAAAAAAAAAAAAAATATTTTTATTTCTCTTTTTTTTTCCTCAGGGGAATTTTCCTGATTTGATTTTTATTTTTTAATCCTTTTAAAAATAAAAAACCCAGAGAATTCCCAAAGTTTTGGGAATTCCAAATCTGAAAATTTTTGTTTTTAAAATCTGTGGAAAATTAAAAAAAAATAAAAAGGGGAAAAAAAAAATCAAAATAAAATCGATTTTTAATCTAAATTTTTTCTGGGAAATTTTTAATTTTATTTTCCCATTTTTTTTTATTTTTTTTATTTCCCGTAGGAATATTTACATCCCAAAAAAAAAAAAAAAATAAAAAATAAAAATAAATTTCGGAATTCCCAAAAAAAAAAAAAAATAAAATTAAATCCCAAAATCCTTCGGAAAAATGTGCGCGAATCCGAAGGGGGGGAAAAAAATCCAAAAGTGCCTCAAAAGTTTGGAATTTCGTTGGAATTTCCTCCTTTGGGGGATCCAAGTACCTGGAAAAAAATAAATGGGAATTTTTTTAGGGATTTTTGGATGGATTTGAAAGGAAAAATTCCAGGAAAAAATCAAATTTTTCCCATTTTTTTTCAATTTTTCCTGGATTTTTCCCCAATTTTTCCCCAATTTTCCCCAATTTTTCCCCAAATTCCCAAATTTCCTCCAATTTTTCCCCATTTTTCCTCAATTTTCCCCAATTTTTTCCCATTTTTTCCCAATTTTATTCCATTTTTCCCCATTTTTTCCCATTTTCCCCCCAAAATTCCCATTTCCCCCCCAATTTTCCCCATTTTTATCCCAATTTTTCCCATTTTTTTCCCAATTTTCCCCCAATTTTCCCCATTTTCTTCCTAAAATTCCCAATTTTTCCCATTTTTCCCCATTTTTTCCCAGTTTTCCCCCAATTTTTCCACATTTCCATCCAAAATTCCCATTTTTTCCCCACAAAATTCCCATTTTTCCCATTTTTTCCCAATTTTTCCCATTTTTCCCCTTAAAATTCCCATTTTTATTCCATTTTTTTCCGTTTTTATCCAATTTTTATCCCAAAATTCCAATTTTATCCCATTTTTATCCCATTTTTCCCCCAATTTTCCCCATTTTTCCCCCAATTTTCCACATTTTTATCCCAATTTTTTCCCAATTTTCCCCATTTTTTCCCATTTTTCTCCCAATTTTCCCCATTTTTCCCCCCAAAGTTCCCATTTTCCCCCAAAATTCCCATTTTTCCCTAATTTTTCCCCATTTCTATCCCATTTTTTTCCATTTTTCCCCCAATTTTCCCCATTTTTATCCCATTTTTTTCCATTTTCCCCATTTTTCCCCCCAAAATTCCCATTTTCCCCAAAATTCCCATTTTCCCCCAATTTTTCCCATTTTTATCCAAATTTTCCTTATTTTTATCCAAATTTTTCCCGTTTTTATCCCATTTTTTCCCAATTTTCCCCTTTTTTCCCTTTTTTATCCCATTTTTCCCCCAATTTTTTCCATTTTATCCCAATTTTCCCCATTTTTCTCCCCAAAATTCCCATTTTTATCCCATTTTCCCCCCATTTTTTCTCAATTTTCCCCCAAATTTCCCCAATTTTCCCCCCATTTTCTCCCCATTTTTATCCCAATTTTTCCCCAATTTTTTCTCATTTTTATCCCATTTTTTATCCAATTTTTCCCCAGTTTTTATCCCAATATTCCCCCATTTTTCCCCCCAAAATTCCCATTTTTATCCCAATTTTCCCCAATTTTCCCCCAATTTTCCCCATTTTTATCCCCAAAATTCCCAATTTTCCCCATTTTTCCCCATTTTCCCCATTTTTATCCCATTTTTAACCATTTTAATCCAATTTTTCCCCATTTTTATTCCATTTTTTCCCATTTTTATCCCATTTTTCCCCCCAAAATACCCATTTTTCCCATTTTCCCACATTTTTCCCCCAATTTTCTACATTTTTATTCCACTTTTCCCCAATTTTCCCCCAAAATTCCCATTTTTCCCTAATTTTTCCCCATTTTTATCCCAATTTTTTTGCATTTTTCCCCATTTTTCCCCCCAATTTTTCCCCAGTTTTTCCCCAATTTTCCCCCAATTTTTTCTCAATTTTTCCCCCCTTTTTATCCCAATTTTTCCCCAATTTTTCCCCATTTTTATCCCATTTTTTATCCCAATTTTCCCCATTTTTTCCCCATTTTTCCCCCAATTTTTCCCCATTTTTTCCCCAATTTTTTCCCATTTTCCCCCCATTTTCCCCATTTTTTTCCCATTTTTCGTCCCATTTTTTCCCAATTTCCCTCCCATTTTATTCCAATGTTTCTCCCATTTTTTCCCCAATTTTTCCCCATTTTTTCCCCATTTTTTATGCAATTTTTCCCCAGTTTTCCCCAATTTTTCCCATTTTTTATCCCAATTTTTCCATTTTTTATCCCAATTATCCCCCCATTTTTTCCCCAATTTTATTCCATTTTTTATCCCAATTTTTCCCATTTTTTCCCATTTTTTCCCCAATTTTTCACAATTTCCCTCCCATTTTATTCCAATTTTTCTCCCATTTTTTCCCCAATTTTTCCCCAATTTTTTCCCAATTTCCCTCCCATTTTATTCCAATTTTTCCCCCATTTTTTCCCCAATTTTTCCCCAATTCTTTCCCATTTTTTATCCAATTTTTCCCCATTTTTATCCCATTTTTTCCCCATTTTTCCCCATTTTTCCCCCATTTTTTCCCAATTTTTCCCCATTTTTCCCCCATTTTTTCCCAATTTTTTCCCATTTTTTCCCATTTTTTCCCCAATTTTTCCCTTTTTTCCCCCATTTTTTATCCCATTTTTCCCCCAATTTTCCCCCATTTTTCCCCATTTTTATTCCATTTTTTATCCCATTCTTTCCCATTTTTCCCCCCAAAATTCCCAATTTTTCCCCATTTTTTCCCCATTTTTATTCCATTTTTTATCCCAATTTTTCCCATTTTTCCCCCCAAAATTCCCAATTTCCCCAATTTTCCCAATTTCCCCCATTTTTCCCCCATTTCCCCATTTTCCCCACCTGTCTCAGCATTCCCGGCCGTTTTCCAGCTCCGTTTCCGAGTTTTTCCTGGAATCGTCTCCGCGGGAAACGACGTCGGCCATGAGCGCCTGCTCCAGCCTCTTCCTCACCTGCTGCACCCTCTCCTCCTGTTTCCTGACCAAAATTCCACAAAAAACACCAAATCCACAAAAAATTCCCAAAGTTTTCATCCCTAAAAAATTCCCATTTTTTACCCCAAAAAAATCCCATTTTTAACGCAAAAAATCCCATTTTTTTACACAAAAAATCGAATTTTTTACATAAAAATTCCCATTTTTTTCACCCAAAAATTCCCATTTTTTAACACAAAAATTCCCATTTTTTAATGTAAAAAATCCCATTTTTTTCCCCTAAAAATTCCCATTTTTTACACCAAAAATTCCCATTTTTTACACCAAAAAAATCCCATTTTTAACGCAAAAAACCCGATTTTTTTACACAAAAATTCAAATTTTTTACACAAAAATTCCCATTTTTTAACCCAAAAATTCCCATTATTTAAACACAAAAATTCCCATTTTTTTCTCCTAAAAATTCCCATTTTTCTCCCCAAAATTCCCATTTTTTACACAAAAATTCCCATTTTTAATGCAAAAATTCCCATTTTTTACGCAAAAATTCAGATTTTTTTACACAAAAATTCCCATTTTTTAAACACAAAAATTCCCATTTTTTACACACAAAAATTCCCATTTTTTTACTCAAAATTTCCCATTTTTTAACACAAAAATTCCCAGTTTTTTACACAAAAATTCCCATTTTTTCCTGCTCCAGCCTCTTCCTCACCTGCTGCACCCTCTCCTCCTGTTTCCTGACCAAAATCCCACAAAAAACATGGAATCCACAAAAAATTCCCAAAGTTTTCATCCCCAAAAAATTCCCATTTTTTACCCCAAAAAATTCCCATTTTTTACCCCAAAAAAATCCCATTTTAAACGCAAAAAATCCGATTTTTTTACACAAAAATTTCAATTTTTTACATAAAAATTCCCATTTTTTTCTCACCAAAAGTCAGATTTTTTTTCCCTAAAATTGCCATTTTTTCCCCCAAAAATTCCCATTTTTTTCCCCCAAAAAATCCCATTTTTAACGCAAAAAATCCCATTTTTTTTTTTCCCCCAAAAAATCCCATTTTTAACGCAAAAAATCCCATTTTTCACGAAAAAAATTCAAATTTTTTAATGCAAAAGTTCCCATTTTTTAATGCAAAAATTCCCATTTTTTTCCCCCAAAAATTCCCATTTTTTTCCCCCCAAAATTCCCATTTTTTACAAAAAAAATCCCATTTTTTTCCCCCAAAAAATCCCAATTTTTACACCAAAAATCCCATTTTTAACGCAAAAATTCAGATTTTTTAAACACAAAAATTCCCATTTTTTTACTCAAAAATTCCCATTTTTTAAACACAAAAATTCCCATTTTTTTACTCAAAAAAATCCCATTTTTTAACACAAAAATTCCCATTTTTAATGCAAAAATTCCCATTTTTTTCACCCAAAAATTCCCATTTTTTAGTCAAAAATTCCCATTTTTACACACAAAAATTCCCTTTTTTTACACAAAAATTCCCATTTTTTTCACACAAAAATTCCCATTTTTTTCCCCCAAAATTCCCATTTTTTACTCAAAAATTCCCATTTTTTAATGCAAGAATTCCCATTTTTTTACACAAAAATTCCCAATTTTTCCCCTCAAAAATTCCCATTTTTTTCTCCTAAAATTCCCATTTTTTACACAAAAAACTCCAATTTTTTTACATGAAAATGTGAGTTTTTGTGTAAAAAAATGGGAATTTTTTTTGTGTAAAAAATGTGAATTTTTGAGTAAAAAAATGGGAATATTAAGGAAAAAAAAATGTGTATTTTTGTGTGAAAAAAATGGGGATTTTTATGGGAAAAATGGGGTTTTTTTGAGTAAAAAATGGGAATTTTTGGGGAGAAAAAATGGGGATTTTTGTGTGAAAAAAGGGAATTGTGGTGTGAAAAAATGGGATTTTTGTGTGAAAAAAATGGGAATTTTTATGGGAAAAATGGGAATTTTTACATTAAAAAATGGGAATTTTTGTGTGAAAAAAATGCGAATTTTTGTGTAAAAAATGGGAATTTTTGTGTAAAAAAAGTGAATTTTTGAGTAAAAAATGGGATTTTTTGAGGAATAAAATGGGAATTTTTGTGTGAAAAAATGGGAATTTTTGTGTGAAAAATGGGAATTTTTATGGAAAAAAATGGGAATTTTTGCATGAAAAAATGGGAATTTTGTGTGTAAAAAATGGGAATTTTTGAGTAAAAAAATATGAATTTTTTGAGTCAAAAATGGGAATTTTTGTGTGAAAAAATTGTGAATTTTTGAGTAAAAAAATGGGAATTTTTGAGGAATAAAATGGGAATTTTTGTGAGAAAAAATATGAATTTTTGTGTAAAAAATGGGAACTTTTAAGTAAAAAAATGGGATTTTTTTATGGAAAAAATGGGAATTTTTCCATGAAAAAATGGGAATTTTTGGGAGAAAAAATGGAATTTTTATGTGAAAAAAATGCGAATTTTTGTGTAAAAATGGGAATTTTTGAGTAAAAAAATGGGGATTTTTGTGAAAAAAATGGGAATTTTTATGAAAAAAAAAGGAATTTTGGGGAGAAAAAATGGGAATTTTTGTGTAAAAAATCTGAATTTTTGTGCAAAAATGGGAATTTTTGTGTGAAAAAAATGGGAATTTTTGAGGAATAAAATGGGAATTTTTGTGTGAAAAAATGGCAATTTTTGTGTGAAAAAATGGGAATTTTTGGGAGAAAAAATGGGAATTTTTGTGTAAAAAATGTGAATTTTTGAGTAAAAAAAAGGGAATTTTTGTGTGAAAAAATGGGAATTTTTGAGTGAAAAAATGGGAATTTTTCAGTAAAAAAATGGGGAATTTTTGAGTAAGAAATGGAAATTTTTAGAAAAAAAAATGGGAATTTTTGTGTGAAAAATGGGAATTTTTGTGTGAAAAAAATGCGAATTTTTGTGTAAAAAATGGGAATTTTTGTGTGAAAAAATGGGAATTTTTGGGTAAAAAAATGGGAATTTTTGTGCGAAAAAATGGGAATTTTTGGGTAAAAAAATGGGAATTTTTGTGTGAAAAAATGGGAAATTTTGTGTAAAAATGGGAATTTTTGGGGAGAAAAAATGGGAATTTTTGAGTAAAAAAATGGGGATTTTTGAGTAAAAAAAGGGAATTTTTGGGGAAAAAAATGGGATTTTTAGAGGAAAAAATGGGATTTTTTTGAGTAATAAATGGGAATTTTTAAGTAAAAAAATGGGAATTTTTGCGTGAAAAAAATGGGAATTTTTATGGAAAAAAATGGATTTTTTATGGAAAAAAATGGGAATTTTTGCACACAAAAAAAGCCAATTTTTGTGTAAAAAATGTGAATTTTTGTGTGAAAAAATGGGATTTTTTGTGTGAAAAAATGGGATTTTTTTTGTGAAAAAATGGGATTTTTTGTGTGAAAAAAATGGGATTTTTAGAGGAAAAAATGGGAATTTTTGAATAAAAAAATGGGAATTTTTGTGTAAAAAAACGGGCATTTTTGCTTGAAAAAATGGGAATTTTTGGGAGAAAAAATGGAATTTTTATGTGAAAAAAATGCGAATTTTTGTGTAAAAAATGGGATTTTTTGTGTGAAAAAAATGGGATTTTTAGAGGAAAAAATGGGAATTTTTGAGTAAAAAAATGGGAATTTTTATGTGAAAAAATGGGAATTTTTGTGTGAAAAAAGGGAATTTTTGTGTGAAAAATGGGAATTTTTATGGAAAAAAATGTGAATTTTTGTGTGAAAAACTGGGAAATTTTGTGTAAAAATGGGAATTTTTGGGGAGAAAAAATGGGAAATTTTATGGGAAAAATGGGATTTTTTTGAGCAAAAAATGGGAATTTTTGTGTAAAAATGGGAATTTTTGTGTAAAAATGGGATTTTTTGTGTGAAAAAAATGGGATTTTTAGAGGAAAAAATGGGAATTTTTGAGTAAAAATATGGGAATTTTTTGAGTAAAAAATGGGAATTTTTGGGAGAAAAAAATGGGAATTTTTAAGTAAAAAAATGGGAATTTTTGGGAGAAAAAATGGGAATTTTTGTGTTAAAAAATCAGAACTTTTAGTGTAAAAAATGGGAATTTTTGCATTAAAAATGGGAATTTTTGTGTAAAAAAATGGGAATTTTTGAGTAAAAAAAGGGAATTTTTGGGGAAAAAAATGGGAATTTTTATGGGAAAAATGGGAATTTTTGAGAGAAAAAAATGGGAATTTTAGTGTGTAAAAAATGGGAATTTTTGCGTGAAAAATGGGAATTTTTGAGCAAAAAAATGGGAATTTTTGTGTGAAAAAATGGGATTTTTGTGTGAAAAAATGGGAATTTTTGTGTGAAAAAATGGGAATTTTTGGGAGAAAAAAATGGGATTTTTTTATG